CGCCTTGTCTAGCAGCGGGGCCCAGCATGGTCATGGCGGATGGCCCGAGGCACTTGCAGCGCGGGCCGGTCCGGGTGGGGTTCTACGACATCGAGGGCACGCTGGGCAAGGGCAACTTCGCGGTCGTGAAGCTGGGGCGGCACCGGATCACCAAAACGGAGGTGCGGCACGGGGCGGCGGGAGCGTCCGAGGCGAGGGTTCGGGAGAGGAGCTGTTTACGGACTGGGGCGGCTGCAGTGGTGCGACCCGGGACACCCAAGAGGCCGCGCCACTCGCTGAGGCGAGCGGGCCCGGGACCGGGAGTCAGAGCTTGCCTGGGGTCGGTGAGCAGTGAAGGAATCGGGGCCAGGTCTCCCTGACGCCAGTGCTGCACGTCTGGAACCCTAGCCCGGGGCACTTTAGCTTCCCCTACGCCACCCTCGATGTCTGCACGGAATTTCGCCCAGAGACCCCCACTCGGGCTGTGACCTGGTCTGTGGCCTCCGCTCCGGAGCCCAAGTTCCGCGTCTTCCCCGCTTTCGGCTGGGGGTGGGGAGGGAGGGGAAGTCTCGGAGCTCCGGGGCTGCGAGATGAGAGATGTCGCCTGCCGAAGGAGAGAGACCGCCTGAGCTCGGGCTGCGCGGACAGGGATCGTGCTGCCGCCTGACCCTAGCGTCCTTCTCTGCCCAGTGAGGAAGGGACCCCGGTAGTCGGGAATACCCAGGCTGCCACTGTCCATCTTCTCGCCCTCCTTTTGACCCTCAGGAGCTCTCATTTGGTGCCTGGGTAGCTTGATCTCTTGCCTGAGGTATTTCCATTTAATACTCCAGACAATAGAACTGGTTAAAATGGTCATCTCTGCATTTGCACAGACGGTGCCTTGGTGTTTCTTATCTGTAGGTTGTTCCCTTACCTGGTGTGCTTTCTGGCTGTGAGTTCGCGTTCCTAAAGCCACGTCAGATTGCCTCTACTCTAGAAGCCCTCAAAATCTTCTTGACGGTGCAGCCAGCCTTCCCCCACCCGCTGCACGTTCTCTTGCACTGCACATATTTCTCACAACTCTCGGTTCTTACCTAACCTGCCCCCCCCCACCTCCATCGCCTCAAGCTGCTCTCCTCCTCGGGGTCTCTTTTTAAGACGTGCAGAGTAAATACCTTGGGAAAATGACCTAAACAAAACCATTCTTTAGAATAAAACAGTACTCTTCTCTACTTGATTGTAATTGACGCTGTAGTTTCCCCCCTTTTCAGTTTTTTCTCCCAGTTTTCACCTTGTTCCCTTTTCTCCCCCGTTAGTGCGAATGAATTAGACTTTCAATGGAGAATAAAGTAGGACTTTCAATGGAGAATAAAGAATGATTTGTGTAAGGTGAAGAACATTTGAAAACTTGAGTGATTTTCATAGCGTTTCACTCTGTACTTAGAAGTTTTGCTTAATGTCCATTTCCAAACGACGGAGAATGACAGGTCGTTATTTCATGCTTTTTGGCTTTTCCAACTGATCTTGAAGCAGCCCAAATCCGACTTATTTGTGATGTCATGACAAGGTCGCAAACTTTCCTCTCACAGATTTACTAGTGTTAGCAATTTAAATAAGTTTGCAAGGTAATATGACTGTGTTTAGCGACATTACTGAATATTCTGGCTTAATCTGATCCCAGCATTTTTTAAAATGAAGTGGTTCCATTCTTCTAGAGTCACAGCCAAATGTCATGCCATTTCCCTTAAGTTATATGAAAAGAAGTCACTTTAAATGTGTATTTTTATGAGTCTGTTTAATGGCTGTCTAAAAATCGAGTTGCTGAGAGACTGCAGAACTTTGAGCTCTTATTTGATTGATTACCAAACTCATTGATCCATATTTTTCCATTGCTATTACTTACATTTCGTATTGGTATTACTAGCAAGATTTAATTGTCAGCTGTTATATTTCAGGTCAAATTTACTTAGGATAGTATCCATTTAAGAGCTGCTTAAGTGGAGTTGATGGTAACTGACACTTTCTCTTGAGCCTGAAAATTCAAATGGTGTCCCTTTCAAACTGATATATTTTAGGGAGCTAGGGGGCACTGTGGAGTAATACCGTCCTTTGGCTATTAAATAAACAGATCAAATGCACCTGTAATTGAAGGCACAAGTCAGATCTGGAAAAAGCATTCAAATAGTAAATTATGTGTTTTGTATAAGTGTGTAATGTGATTTACGTTAAAAGCTAAATTTTTACAGATTCTATCATCCTTGTGCTTTCCTAAAGAAATCATTGATTAACATACAAAAAGGAACTATAAATATAAGATGGGTGACTGGGAACATTTGTGGTAATTTGGTTGGATTAGAGACATTAAAATAGAGAAGGGTGAGGGAAATGACCTGGAAATTGCTGAACTGAAAGGTTTTTGTAGCTCTCCTTACACTTACAAAAACACTGTGTGGCCTTTCATAGGTGAAGTGCATAAAGACTTGTTTTGTAAGTGTACAGATAAAATTGTTTCTTAAAGTACTATTTGTTGCTAATTTTTTTAAAGCACCAGTTTTTATCTTCTTTATTTGCTGGATAAATATTTGTGAGCTTGTTGCATGGAACTACCTTAAAAACTAAGATGTCCCAAAAAACCACTAAAATGTCCGGAGAAAATGTCATCATTTTACATTATTTTAGGTTCTCATACTCAAGTACAGTAAGAACCATTAATATACTTATAAAGAAAACCATGAAAGAAATATGATTAAACTTACTGCTGATTGAAGTTTCTTCATATGCTATGCTTTAACTTCAAGAGGTCTTTTTTTCCAAGTATGATCCTGAGGCAAATTTTAGGGCAGTTAGTTTAAGTGAACAATTGAATCCTTTTACTTTTAACTGACTCTTTGTCTCTTGGTTGGTATCATTCCAAAATAATATATTTTCTACAGAACTTGGAAGATCCAAGTCTGGTTTTCTTTAAAAAAAATTTTTAATAGCAAAGATCTTCACTTTGGTCTTACCTATCAAATAGCTTAACATTATGTAAGAAATGTAATTACATCATCTGAATCAGTATTTCATATATTAGATATTTGTGTGAATTTTACACACAAAAGGGAAGGCAGGTGGTGTTAGAATCTAGCTTCCTAATATAATACTTCATAAAAGCTTTGTAGTACTGGTTTGTGGCTTATGAATTAGAGAAGCTAATTTTACAAAATTAGCATAATGGGTAAGGATAATAGCATTTAGGCTATTAAACTATTTTAGGCATTAGTGGTTACTAGTTTAGATTCTGTGAGTGTCCTTGATTAATGTTTTATTTTATTAATAATACTATAGTAGGAAATAACTTTTTCCTTCTGACTATAGTTTTTTTGCCTTAAGTAAAATTCCAAAAAAGCCACTTGTCCCCTTAAATGTTTGTTTTTTATTAAATAATATTTTACTGTAGAATACTATAGTACACTAAAAAATATAATTCTTTCACCAGTGGGAGTAAACACCCCCCCCACACACATACATGCAAAACTCTAATACTGAGGATTGAACCCAGGGCCTTCACAGTGTGGTACATCTTCAGCCTTTTTTTTTTTTTTTTTACTATTTTAAGACAGGGTCTTGCTGAATTGCCCCGGATGTGCTTAAATTTGCAGTACTCTTGACTCAGCTTTCCAGAGTGCTGGGATTATGCACATGTGCCACCATGCCTAGAGGCAATAAACTATTCTTAATGTTATATCATATTTCTCTCTAGTCTTTTTAAATCATTTTTTCATAAGTATCATGTGTTACACATATGCAAATTATAATCTTTTTTCCCACATAACTTTAATACCTCAGCATTTTGCTTTCTTATGTGACTTTAAATAACATTTTAAGTAGTTGGAGTGTTTTACCTTGTAGATGGGTAAATGGGTCCTATCTTATTTAATGATTCCCTTATTATTGAATTATTATGTCCTTTCTGGTTTTCACTTATAAATAATTGGCAGGGAGCATTTCTGTATATATAACTGTGTCTGTATTTTAAATTTTACTAGGAGAGAGAAACTACTGGTAAATTCCTAGAAGGGAAATTATGAGTGAGAAGATATTTTTACATTAAAGAGTTATGTATTTTAATTACCAAATCTATCATGTTGATTATTGAAAAATTTAGCTGTATAGACAAATGAAAAGAATTACCCATAATACCATTACTCTGGGATAACCATCATTATTGTTTAAAGAATATTTAGACGTGTAGTACATGGGATCTTAGAGCTATTTCAGCGGTTCTTTTTTTGTTTTTGGTACCGGGAATCAAACTCGGGACCTTGAGCTTGCAAGGCTGGCGGTGGAACCACTGAGCTAAATCCCCGATCTCAGAGGTTCTGAAAATTATCTTATTAAAATGGCATGTGGATGTTAGGCTGCTTACTTATACTTAGTAGAATGTGGAATGCAGAACTGATATGAAGCACGTTCTGCAAACTGCTTTTGTTCACAGAAAGCTTTCTGTGTACATTTTGGGACTTTTATATTTAGGCATACTTCCTAGACTACCTTAAAATTTAGGATTTTTTAAAAGCTTTCCAAAATGGTTAAAATTCAACACTGCATTTTTTTTTTTATAGCAAGGGTAAAAACACAGAGAAGGGTGTATTGCACCATGACTATAATGTGTCTTGAAGAAAACTTTTGTACCAGGGATCAAACTTGGCACCTGGCGCCTGCAAGGCAGGCAGCGGAACCACTGAACTAAATCCCTGGCCCAAGAAAACTTATTTTTAATGCATTGGATTTTATACTTTACTTTAAAATTTAAGACCCCTCTCAGTAATCTTGGTGCCAATATTGTACTGGAAAATATTCTAGATTTCAAGAAGCAGTTATACTATGTACATCAAAAGGACTCGTTATCAAACACCTTAATCATAGTATTTGTATCTAGAGCTATGTATGATCTTTAATTGTATATTAAAATAGAAATTATATTTGTCACTATGTATATATGTATATATATATATGTATATATGTGTGTGTGTGTGTATATATACATATATATATATATATATATATATGGGCTTTATTATAATTATTCTTTTAGTTTCTTGGCACCCCAGACATACTGTGATTGGCAAATTATTCTACTAAGTATTGGTCTTGTTTTGGGAGGGAGAACAAATGTACAAAATAAGAGTTGTGTAAATTTTTATATTCTGAAGAAATTTTT